ATCCTGTCTTGCAGAGTCCCCACCCCCATCATCAAGAAAACTCTCAGCACATATCATCATTCATGGTTCAGGGAAAATGGAAAGCTTCCCCCCTCATCCAAGTGCACAGTTCTCAAAGTTAGAAAAGCCTTCTTGGCATCTTCCTTCCAGAAATTATCCATATCATCATCTTGTGTACACATCTGGTGGAATTGCATACACAATGTATATCTATGTGTTTTAATTCTTAGCATTCTAAAAGTGCTCTTCTGAGTGGAGTTAATGAATCTCATGACACACCATAAGAGCTCTGAAATGCCAAAGGCATGAAAATAGCAATCTCCCTAAGCTAACTAGATTGGTACAAAGGAGGGAAAATAATGAAAGTTAGTAACAGATAAAGGAGCAGATGCATGAAGTATGTTCCTCCACTCTCCCCTTCAAGGAAAGATTCCTTCTCAAACACAGCTATGACCTTCCCCAATATGTAGCGGAAACAAAAATCCCTTCACAATATCTCTGACCAATTTTCCTCCAACTTTCAGCTGGAGAAAATCTACAAGACCTGTCTGTCCTACTGAGGGGTCCCAGGTGAGGATAACCTTTCCATGAACCCATTTGCAAGCCAACAGACTTATCACAGTTAATCTTGGACTCTTTAACTATCTTATATATCTGGATTTCTCTAGCAACTTCAGCAATCTTGGCATTGCTCATTACAAGCATGGTAATATCATCATCAGCATAGTTATTGTACTTGGCCAAGGTGGTAGCACCAGGTAACATAATCCCACATAGAACCAAATTTGCTCTCAATTAAAACAGGAAAGGCAAGATCATACAGCATGAGCAAAAGTGGACAATATGAAAGGTTGGGAGAGCAGATGTTGGAACTATGACTAAAAAGTGATAAAATCAGAAAACTAGTATTTAAGAAGGCAAGGAGTGAAGTGTCAGAGTTAAAGGAAGGTGTGAGTTGACAGGAATTGCTGGATGGCTACAAACATCATGGAGTTAAGAAGAAGGCAAGTAAGATTAGCTGAGAATGTAAAGTAGATGATTGGACAATTGCTTTTGAGGCAGAATATTCTGGCAGAGGTAAAGGAAGATCCAGTAAATGAGAAATGGTTTGTACCTAAATCAAAAACGGTAGTAGTGTGGCATGATACAAGCAATATTTATACAGGTGAGATAGATGGTGTAGTGACTGAAGAAATGGTTAAGAAAAAAAAACATCAATGTGACTGAATTAGTTGCTGTATTAGAAGGTATTAATTTGGCCTTAAAGTGGGGTTTGAAAGAAATGGAAATCAGGATTGATTCAGCCACAGTAGTAAGTTGGGTGGATGCTACTCTAAGAGAAAAGTGAAGAATAAGGACAAAGGGTTCTGCAGAATTGATGATAAAGTGCAAATTAGGAATACTAAGGGAGTAAGTTTTGACTGAAGCTGGAAGCAATGTTTGTGCTTTCAAGAAGAAATAAGGCTGATATGATAACATGAATAAAAAAGAATTAACTGGTCATCAAGAATGAAGAGGTAGAACAAAAAACATTTGGCACAATGTGCATCATATGGTTATAGTGAAACACACCTATTCTATAGTTAAGAGACTCTCCCACCTATAATAAGTAGGAGTAGTAATAGTAATGAGAAGTCAGTCAGTCGATGTCAGACAACAGACGAATACTAACGTATCAGCGTCCACAACTAGATTACTCTGCGTTATACCTATTATATCAAGTTCCTAACGTTTTGTACGTCAAACCTATTTTAGGACCAACTTAGTACAAATACAAGCCTCCACTGTGAAAATCACTCCACAACATTATTTGGCGACGAGGAATTCATACTCATACAGAGAAAAAAAAAAAAATTTGCTCGCCACCACATTATTTGGCGATGAAGTTTCAAATTCATACGGTACAAGAAAAAAAATTCACTCACCACATTATTTGATGACGAGGAATTCATACTCATACGAAGGGGAAAAAAAAATTTGCTCGCCACAATAACGCTGTGGGACGAAATTCGTACTCGTGCAGTGAAAAAAAAATTCGCTCACCATAACAATTTTTGGTGACAAAATTCATACTCATACGGAGGAAGAAAAAATTTGCTCGCCACAATAACTTCAGCGGCAAAGTCTCGGATTTACACTTAAAAAAAAAACCTAAAAAACTTGGAAAAGTTTTTCGCAAGCCAAGACATCATCTTACTGACAAAAATCTGTCGTATTCTCAACTGAGAAAAGAATTTTTTTTCTCGATAATGCAGTTTGCTCAAATAGGTCACGAACTGCAAATTTGTAGGACCCCACCCACTCTACAGTATTTAGGCATTGTGTAAACTTTTTGCAAAGATGGAGGAATGCAAAAATATATTCCAGGAATTCTTTAAGTTCCAGTCGGAACAACAGATGACAATATTAGAGCAACAGAAGACATTCCAGACACAACTACAGCAGGAAACTTTTAATAGACAAATGCAATTTCAACAAAAAATGGAACTGATGCATAAGGAGTTTCAAAACAAAATTCTGGAAATAACTGAGAAGAGGAAAGAGAAAAATCTACAAAATGATTCTTTCCCAGAGAATACAATATGGAATTCAATTGCAATATTCATGTACAGTCCAGATGAAGAGATAACTTTTGAGGATTATTATAAAAAATATACGGACGTGTATAATGAGGACTGCCACTTGTGGTCTGAAGGAAAGAAGGTTAGGGTTATTTTAAGCAAATTAGGAACTGCTGAGCATAACAAATTGGTAAACTACATTTTACCGAAAAAAAACTAGCGAGTTGACATTTACCAAGGCAGTAAATATATTAAACAAATTATTTAGCAAAAAGACATCTCTGTTTCACAAGAGGTGGAAATGTTTGAATCTGATGAAAGATGACGAACAAGACTATATAATGTACTCAGCCAATGTGAATAAGCATTGTGAAGAATTCAAGCTGGCAGAGTTAAGCACAGACAATTTTAAGTGCTTGGTGTTTGTTCAGGGGCTGGTATCAGAAAGAGACACAGAGTTGAGAAAATTAGTACTGGCTAAATTGGAAAGCGAGCCAAGTGTTACGGTTCAGAAGTTGGCAGAAGACTGCACAAGATATGTTAGCATAAAGAAAGATTCAAAAAGGATAGAACAATCTGGCATTTCGCATGTAAGGAAAATACGCTACAAAAAAGAAAGTCAGTCTACCAAAAAGAATTCTAAAATTGCGGATTATCAAGCAAAAAGTGAAATACCAGAGAAAAATAAACAAAAACTACCGAAGCCATGTTTTGCTTGCAGTGAACAACACTGGTACAGATATTGCAATTATAGGAATAAAAAATGTTTCAACTGTAAAAGAGTGGGTCATAAAAGCTCACACTGCAGGTCAAAAAATAAAGACAATAAAATAAGAAAATTAATGTCCGACGAGGTGAACGATGCAATAATCATAAAATTTGTTACCGTCAAAATAAGTAATAAAAAAATAAAAATGCAACTCGACACTGGTTCTGACCTATCTATCATAAATTTGCATATGTGAAAGAAGTTGGGGAAACCAACTTTAATGAAGACAAAGAAAATCGCGAGGTCAGTGATGGGAGAAAAAATACAATTTATTGGAGAATTTGTTACAAACGTCATGTTAAATAAAAAAACGCGAAAAGCTAAAGTATTTGTCATAGAAAATACCACAAACTTACTTGGTATGAATTGGATAACAGAATTCTAATTATGGGATCTACCGATAAATTCTTAGGTAGAAAGTTTAAACTCCAAAGCCCAAAAATTAGTAAAGAAACTTAAGGAAACATTTCCTACTATTTTTTCTCCAGGTTTGGGAATGTGTACCAAGATGGAGGCAAAATTCCAGCTAAAAGAAAATGCTCAGGCGGTATTAAAAAAGAAAAGGAATGTGCCATTTGCCTCAATTGAACAGATAGATAAAGAATTGGACAGATTAGAGAAAACCGGTATACTTAAAAAAGCTGAATATAGTGAATGGGTAACACCGACAGTATACGTGAAAAAAAAGCTCCAGAAAGTAAAGATGAAGCCAACACCGAGAAAAACTGGGGAGCGAGTTACCCGCAGTCAAGGACATGCAGTGTTATTAAATGATTTAACTCAACTGAATTCACCACAGAAAACATTAAGAAGCACAAGATCAACAAAAGGGAAGCTAGAGGCTGAACAAATAGAACCACAAGAAGAACCTACAGAAACTGTGACTCCATCCTTAAGAAGCTCGAAGGTTGTTTTTGGTAACACTATGGCAGTACCAAAAAATAGAAAAGTGGATTGGCAATATGATGTACTTGGTGAAAGGCGAAAAATTCACGTGCAGTAACCAGATCAGACGACATGCTTCAGACGTGGTTGACAGTGGTCCCGCGGAAGAAACACCGATGGAGGTGATTTTTGATACATTTGATTTAACAATGCCTACAACCATTTTACCTGAGGTACGCTGATCCAGGAGAAAAAGAAAGGCAACTGATCATTTAAAAGTGGATTCAAAACGTAGAAGATACGCTACGATGTTGCTAAAAAAATTAAGTTTTTTTTTTTGTTTTTTCTTCATATTTCCTGTAAAAAATAAATAAATAAAACTGTTTACTCCTACGGAGTAAAGTTTTAGGAGGGGGGGTGTTATAGTGGAACACACCTATTTTATAGTTAATAGACTCTCCCACCTATAAGTAGTAATAGTAACGAGGAGTCAGTGAGTTGGTCAGTCGATGTGGGACGACAGTTAGTCAAATACTAAAATATCAGCGTCCACAACTGGATTACTCTGCGTTATACCTATTATATCAAGTTCCTAACATCAAACCTATTTTAGGACCAACTTAGTACAAATACAAGCCTCCACTGTCAAATCACTCCACAACACATATGGATATGGACAGGGTATCTTGTGTGGAAAGTTGATCCACTTGTTAAGAGAGAGGAGATCTAAAGGGTCGTCATAATCTGCATTAGGTGTCAGTTAACTGACCCTGCCCTGAACACACATGACCCAGGTGAGATCATACCTGGAGATAACTGGAAAAAGGTTAGCTATTGATTTGGCACATAATTGCAGGGGAATTTACCTATAGTGATTGTGTCATTGAACAATATGGAGGCAATTGCAGGCAGAGACAGTTGCAAAGGAATGAGAGAATGTAAGAATCTGTACAAGAGATTGTAATGGATAATAGCACAGTTCATGCTAGAATAATGGAATATTCAAAGATATTAGAACACTGCATATTGCCCAGGTGGAGAGAAATCATCAGAGTGTGAAAGCTATAACTGAGAGATATCACCCATAGAAACAACCTTCTGGTACAGTATGGCACCAACAATTAGATGAAAGAAATGGTGCCACAAAGGTCAATTTTCACCTATGGATGGAGGAATCCAACAGGTGTAATGCCAAATAAAGACAAGGAGGTATCTACATCAATCCAAATTGGAGAAGTTTGGATGAAACCTCCAAATGCATAATGGGGTAGAAAAAGGGTGGTGACTAATGTGAAATCACCAAATAACATAAAACAGTAGACTGTGTCATGGCATGTTCTGGATATAAAATATATGATTAATTTATCTGATGCAGATGCTAGCCCTGATAATATGATATTGCAGATGCAAAGACTCAGAGAAAGCAATGCATGCCATGCAGGGCATACAACTATGATATGTAAAAATGATCTTAAAGATTATGGTGGTGGTGGTGGGGTGGCCTGTGGTCTGAATAAAAGAGGTGACATTTATCTTGATACCAGCAGAGGAACTGAGTAAATTAGAGAAAGAATTTTATAGACAAAGACTAGAGCATTATAACAAATGTCTATATAAGGGAAGATTTTTTTCTTATTAGTTGGTTTTGGAATACAAAACAGACACAAACATTCTGATTGCCAGTGTTAAGAGAAAAAGGAGGAGGAAGAAGAATAGAGAGAGGAACACAAGAAGTGATAGGAGAGAAAATATACCTCCTTATTGGTAATGAAGTCAAACCTTACTATTTTACCTCTTGTCTGTTTCTACCACAAGAGAATGAGTAGTTCTTCATATTTATTCACTTTATTTAAACCAAACAGTTTTTGCTTTATACACTTACTTATAACGAACTCTAATAATTTATACAAAAAAATTCAATTTTTTTTTTACTTAAATATCAGAATTCTGAAAATGAAAACATTCTTTTAAAAACTATGATGTTAAATTAAAAAGGAAAAACTAAATATATTATTTAAATCTTTAAGACTATTTAACATGAGAATTTGATACAAATGAATGGCAAAATATTTCCTTAGATACTGCATCGGAAATCTTGCATTTTTTCTGGTACTTTTTTAGAATTTAATTAGAACACCTTCAATAAAAAGGTACTCATTACTTCATTTTTATTCTTATAACTGACAACAACCTTCATTTGAGAAAATCTTTCACCCTAAGTGTTTCCAAAATTTATCAATGGCTACTGGCAAGAGTGTTTGAACTAAAAAGTATTGCACGTTTCATAGAAATTGTTTATTTTCTAATTTAATCATTTCTCTAACATTTCAAGTTTACTTAAAATATATATTATATAAACACATTTTCTTCCAAACATAATTACTGACTTTTATTGACAGTTTCATAATTTACACTTAATTGCTTAACAAAACTTATAATCAGGAGTTTAACTGCAACTCAAATTTTAAATTTGCATTATTTCTTATAATAATACATTTTTCCCATATTCTCTAACACTCAATAGCCACTTGCAACTTAGTGGCATTATTGCCTTACTTGGGGTGGAATGATTAAAAAAAAGTTGTAACAATTTTGAAGAATGATGTAAATTAGAGTTTTTTTTTATTTTTGCTTTGTTTTATTTTGTAACAGAGAATCAGGTCAGCCCAATAAAAGAGTCCGAGTTGGTTGTATGTGGTGCTGTAAGCATCAGGAGTTGTGTCCCCTTACACAATGGGCTGTTGAGAGAATATCTATTTGGAGTAGGTGGTGCAGACTCTTTTGCATATGAACGATACTGGGCAGGTATTAGCCAATAGTCAGCATGGGTCTGAGACTGGGAAAGCTATATAACACCAGTGTTTTTCTGAGATGTGTGAAGTGCTCTGAACGTGTGAAAACCAGACAAGACTAACACATATTTTCTCAGCAATTTTGTTTTATTTTTTCTTCTTTTCTATGGAAGTTGCATGTTTTTGTCCTTGGCTTGGATAGTTGTTTTTCATTATTCTTTTTTTCCGAAATTAAAATAGAAAAAGAATGCATTTAACTACATAGATTATGTTGATCTATAAAATGCCCCCAAGGTATTTCTCAACTGGTCCAAACTTCAAATGAAATGACTAAAAAACTTCTGAAATAGTTGCTTGTTGAGTTGCTAATTTTGTTTTGAGGTTTCATCATCTATCCATATATGTTCATGAAATCTTTATGGTATCCCCATCAGATGGAATTTCAGTCTAATCAAATTCAACTATCAAGAGTAATAAATTGGGATGTTGTAAATTATAGATGTCAAAAGGAAAATAAAATACATGGATTAATTTGTAACATATGAAATAACAATATCTCCTTTGTCAACTGTGCAAAGAAGAGTTACTGAAAAGAAAATATTTCTGTGAAAATATAGTTACACCATATAACTAACTTCATTCATCTTGTAATGGCAGCCTAACAATTAACAAGAAAAAATGAAGTGACAAAGCAACAAATGAAGACATGGTTGAAATAAGTAAAAGGGTTTTTATTTCAATGATCAACAAGGTTTGATCATTTGCTTGTTCCAGGGTATTGCAATCAGTCATGGGAGACTGGGAGTTTGTTCTGAGTATAACACAAAATAGTAGTTGAGATGGACATGTGAAGAAAATCTGCTGGTTTTGCCACTGATCAAAAGTATCACTGTTGATGGAAGTGAATTAGTGTCAGTACTGATGGCCGGGTTAAGTTTGCTTGCCATAGAGTCTGTCACTAATGCCAGCCTTGTTTGATCTGTCCTCATGGGTGAAATCAGAATTGATGTTATAGTCATTCAATGGCTCAGAAATACTGATTAAAAACCATTTGAACCTTTTCTGATTGGTCAGAAAAGATATTTTATAACCCTGGTATTTTGGAATGGTATTTTGGGATGGTATTTAAGTGCTTTAGTCAGGTAAGCTATGGATGTCGAAGTGAGCATTATCCGTTTGAATTAAAGAATTGGAGTTCTAACAAAGTATGACAATTTCAGAGAATAAAACATTGTAAATATGAGTATTAGAAATTTCATAAAGTTAATGCAATGTTTTTATGAATGTCAAAGATTCAGAATTAATGAGAAGTTATGGTAAAAGAATTGAGGATTTGCTAAATTAGCGAATGTGACTAGTTAATGACAGGATAAAGACTAGCATCTCCCTTTCTCAAAATTTTCAGTCTTGTGCCATATTTTTGTTTCTCTCTCAACAGTGGCCATGAGCCAACTTCAGCATAGATATCAGGGTACCCAAACCAAGTCAACTTTAGCAACCAGTAAGTTATTCCTACTGACAATCCTTATACATAAACAAAGACTTTTTTCTCACTTGAATCTACACTACAAACTTTAGAAAAGAACCTTCTTTCCTATGAGACTGGACAATTCTACTTTACTCTGAATATATATATATATATATATATATATATATATATATATATCTTCTATCATTGTTAAAAACATGCTTGTTATTATGTATCCAGTCAACCATTTTTCTTTATCTAAATCATGTCATTGTTGGTTGAATGTGTTAATATGTAGGAATATTATTATAAATAAATATAAAACAATAATACTAATAATGAAAATTATAAATAAAATAAAGTAATAACATAAAAATGTCTTATAAAATAAATAAAAATTAAAAATAATAAAAAAAAATACTCCCAGCATGCAACAAAAACTGTCCCTGCTGAAAATACAAACCCACCAAGATGTTAAATTCAATCTTTTCACCCTGAACAGCATGTGTAACTTCTCTCTGATATGACTTATAATACTATGGAGTAAATTCTCCCTTTTATCACGATATTAGAATTTCATTTGAGAACCACTACTACAATGTTTTACAAGTTCATGCTCTAGCCTCTTTTCTTATCTTTGCCCCAACTTTTTCCCATGCTTTCAAATCCAGCTCCCAAAGCCTTGATCCTTATCAGAGATAAGAATATATTTTCTGACTAATGAGAGAGCTGGAAAATATAAAAAGGAATCTGACCCTCCTTGCCCTGATCATGGTGCCATAAAGTCTGGGGGTAACACTAACATGTTGGACCCTTGCTTCCAAAAAGCAGCTCCCAAAACTTTGATTCTTATCAGAGATAAGACTATATATTCTGACGAATGAGAGGTCCAGGAAAGTGTATAGCAATTTTGGAGGGAAAATTTCCTAATATTTCTGAGCCTCCTAATCTTGATAAATATGGAGAATATGCACCTCTTTGCCAGTGAGTACTTGACGTCTGTGATAACATCAGGTCGGTAACAGTAACACCAGTCATCTTTGGAACCTGTTTTAAGAAAGAGATCTACCTGCTGGGCTCTAAAGACAGAATGTCAGCCCTCTACTAAAAAGTAGTTGAGATCTGCTTCCTTGCACCTAGAAATTCCTGTAATCGGCCTATGAACTCACTCAACTACAAGATTCAGATCTTCCAACAGTTTTTTCCTCACCAAGAGCTCTGAAGAAATCTGAGTGTTAATCCCTTAAGAACAATTTACTCACTTAAAGAACTTTCAGGCGTTCAGAGAAATATTTTCAGCAAGCCTTTATGAACATTTTTTCTTCCTAAGTTAAAGGAATTTTCTTCTCCCTTTCTTTCTCGCATATTTGTGTATATCCTTTTACCTATTTTTGTGTATGTAAATAAACATTTTCTTCTTTTATGTTATGCACAAGCAGGAGTTTGAGTCTTTATTCTTCCACCTAAAAGAGAGAATTATCTGCTCTAATCTTTCAAGCCATTGTTGCTTTTAACTATTCTGTCACATTTAGCCATAACCCTTTCATGTGGGAAAGCTAGGACAAATTTCCCACAATGTACCATAAAACAATTGTAACTTAAAAAATATACACACCAATAAACACAGAAATATAAATAAATTGTATGAAATTATAGCAGACTTCCTAATCACGTCGGGGTCACCAATCAAAATGTAGCAGACCACCAATCAGATGTAGCAGTATCCACCACATTTAACTTAGATTAGGACTGACGTGGAAAAGGATAAACAAAGACGTTAGAGGTCACCATCAAATGTGGCGGTAACCATGCATTTTATACTTGACGTAAAGTACAACATAGCATGAAATACAAGATTGAACATGACGATTTAAAAACATAACATTTGAATTTATTTGTTTTGAAAGAGTAAAAGATCTGATGGAGTTACGTCTCTTGGACCGTGAATATTTTTACCAGAACTCACAGAAGTTGAATTAATTATAAACTGTAGTTTAAGAAGAATATTACACATTTTGAAGTGTTCTGTATGTTTGTAATGTAAGTTGGAAAAATTGGTAAGAGTTTGTACATACGTGAATGCATGAATAAACTTTTAACATCTGACCGACCCCGGTCGAGACGAAAGTTCTTGAAGGTCATATCTTGCAGCAAGGAAAAGAGGAGAAAAGAGAATGAAGCAAGCTTGTGTTTTCTATTTATAGATGATGTACTCACGTGACAGGCTCCAAGTCACTGCAAGGGAAAAATCATTCCTCGCGTGCAGACAATCTGAATGGTTGGCATTGACCAATCAGCGAGTGAGTTTTGAGGAGACTAACCAATGAATGCTTGTCGTTGTATGATCTGTATGTATGTGTGTGTGCGTTTACCACAAAATTAACATACAATTTACCATGCTTTTCCTGTTATTTGTGTACGTTTTATTTCCTGTCAAGTATGCTTTTATCTCCTTGAACACAAGGTTAAATTTTGTGCTATAATTTGAGTGAATCTCACACAAATGCTTTCTATGAACAATGTATTAAAATGTTACAATGTATTAGTACGAAAGAAAACTGAGTTTTAAAAAAAAAATCACAATTTTAGTCAATAATGTTCATAAAAAGAAAACATCCAGGATATTTTACAATGCAAGAGTACAATTCTTTTCAAATTGTTAAATTTTAAAATAAGATTGATTTCAATCACAGACTGACAAAAATAGGTTTCTTATTTCAACTGTTTGAAAAGAAAAACAAAAAAAACATTTACAACTTAGTCACTTAAAAGAAAATCCATTTTTAACATCCCACTGGACGTGTTAATTACTAAAATTCCACACTAAACAACGGTGAAACTGAAAAACATTAATTAAAAATGGCAGCATTGAAAATGAAATAACAATCCATAGCATAAAAATTCAAATCTATACCGTAAACAATTCATCAAACATTTTACACAACAAATATTTATTTTTCAATATAATCTTCTTTCTTATCCATACACTTCATTCAATGGTGAATATTCATCATAGAGATATCAAACATTACATCTCAAAAGTCAAAACTGACTCTTCTCTTTTCTCATTTTTTTCATTTGGCATCGTGGCAAAAGGGGAGATTACTCTTGTTTACTGAACGAGCCAAACACGCGACCATGTCGCTTGTTTTAATTGGTTCAACATTGACAAATCACAAAGAGCGACGTATAAATTTAAATTGAAAAATGGAGGCAAATCGGGGTATGAGTAAATAATCGTAATCAAGGAATAAACGAAACAAATTTTCGGATAATTAATTCTATTTAATAAGAATCACATCTAAAGTAAGTATTTTTGTTTATAGTTTGAACATTGTTTTATCGATTACACTTTTTTCCTATTACTGCATCATTTAAGCGATGATTTCATTTTGTTTTTCTTTTTAAATTAAAAAAAAGTGAAGCACATTTCCTTACTTCCTTATCCAAATCTTCCGGAAATAAACAAAATCAGCCTAGGCTAATTCGGTACACACAAAACTGGTCGGGTACTAGAAATAAAATAGGCTAAAAATCCCAATGTCTAATGAGTAATGAAGAATAACATTAAACGTTAAACTTCGAAAGTCAACTACTATGTTTTTATTATCCAGCAATTTTAATTTAATTACTTATCCTTTTTTTGGATATTTTATTTTTGTGATAAAAATTATTTCACAAACTTATTTTCTCGTTATTTAGTTAGAAGAAAGATGAGAAGAAATTAAAAATTATTTATGTTTACTATATAAAAGTTAAAAAACAGATTATGTTTTTTACTACTAAAATAAACATTTTTATGTGACGTAATAATTTTCATAAGAAACATTTTAGAAAGGGAAAAACACTCAGATGGTACTTGTCTGGAAAAGTAAGTCCCATCTTGAATATGATGTTAATGCAGTTAATGTTATATAATTACGACGTACCTTGAAAATAAAATAAATCATTTAATTAATTTAAAATAAATGTCTCCTTTTTTTTTTTTTTTTTTTTTATTCTATTTGAAAGATAATAGCATAAAAGTAAAGCTATAAAATAAAGATAATTTTACGAAATTCAATAAGGCTTTCTTTAAAAGTAAGACTTAATTTTAAAAAAACGTTTCTAGTGTCAATTTATCATCTATCCGCCATTTTAATTGAAAAAGAACAGAAATTTTAAATTTAAAAAATTTCTTAAAAATCAAATTTCGGTTTCTAATGAAATTAAGGATTAATTAACAATTTTGGTGAAAGTATTGCTTTATGCTTAGAAATACATTGAACACAGCAAGTTGTGTTCCGCCTATCAACAAGTTCGGAAATCAAATAAAAAAAACAGTAGCAGTAAAAAAAAACCCCACGTTTTTTGTTTTTTAATCGGATCTTTAGCCCAAGCAAAACAAGTCACTAAAACAAAGGGCTTATTGGGTGTGAAAAAATTAGAAAGCAGAAACATTACTAAGGAAAGAGCGAGTGCAATAAAAGAGTAATCAGGAAGACAGTAGATAACGATTGACATTACATTTAAATTTTTGAAGATAAATTTAACTGGAAAGCATAGAGACGGAAGTGAGTTCCACAGGCGAGAAACAAAGAAACTGTTAGCATAGAACTTATGGTTAAATTGATGAGACCTTGTTGCCAATCTACTACTGGCTGCGCTTAAATTCATAAAGTCTAGGTATCATAGTGAAGAGAGGTATTTATTTTGTAAATATACAAATATGTGGCACAAGGCCAAAAAGGTGGGTGGGAGAAAGGATGGTCTTCTGTCTTATAATTATACTTAGCTTGCCACTATCACTGAGCCAAACATACCACACAGTATTCCTTATGTAGATTCCAATGTTTTTTTTTCTTCACCCAAGTACTATCGCTTCACAAAGTAATACATATACATATATACTTGAAATCTTTAAAACAAAAATTTTAAATGAACATGTCATTCATAAATTTGCTTGTTATACTTAAGTCAAGTTTTACAAATAGATGCCAACTTGTTGAAGGACAAGTAAAATGCAAATTTCAAACACTTTTCTGCACTATATAAGAAGATATTCCCTAAAAAGAACTATTTTTGATATGAAAATCAAAACAATCCTTGAGTAAAAGAACAGTAATGAAGGACACTTAATTAATGAAATATACTTTTTTAAAATCAATATGCAAATTAGTTAAACCTCAAGAGTGATATTGCCTAGAATTAGATAATATATAATACAGATATTGAGCAAAAGGAGTTGGAATTGAGAAAAATTATACTGAGAGGTGCCCAGCCCTGGGGAACAGCTACCCAAGGCTGCGCCCTCTCATTGCACCAGAGAGAGGGATCAGTGCTTGCACTGAGGCCAGCGCAACCGATGGTTGCAGGGGCAATTTTTGTTTCTTGCTCGAGTGTATCACAACCTGACCTCATGGGTAGATGAGTAAATACAAATTGCTTTCTCGAGTAGTTTGCAGCACATTATTTATCATCTTTCAGTTGCATCTCTGTCTTTGGCAGAGTGTGCTCAAGGCAGCTCCATCAAAAGACAGAATCGCAAATGAGGAAAATTATACTGAGTGGTGCCCAGACCTGTGGAACACCTGCCTGAGGCTGTGCTTTTTCATTGCACCAGAGAGAGGGATTGGTGCTTGCACCAAGGCCAACACAACCAACAGTTGCACAGGCTTGGGCAATTTTTGTTCCTAGCCTGGGTGTACATGCTCAGGCTCTTCACATTAAACCGACTTTGTGTCACAATGCGACTTCATGGGGTTTTCATATTCTTATTTACCATTCTTAACTACATCCACTATAATACCTCATAATCTCTTATAAAGTCCTAACTAATCCTCGTATGTACAATTTTTGTCTCTGGTGGGGAGGGGAGAATAAAATGTGTATTTACAATATGTGCTAAAGCTATTTTCAAGAAAGTAAACAAAATAATGTTAGTAATAAAACCCCCTACAGTCCCTAAATGTGGCAGAAATATCAGTTAACTGGACAAAATTAAGGCAGGACTAAGTAAAGGGCTCAAGTTTCATATGATATGCCAAAAACAAAATAACTAAAATAGAAACAAGTCAGTTGCAGCTGTGGCCATAAATATATCTTGGATATGCTAATATTGTGTGTCTTCTCCCACCTGTCGACCAATGAAAAAATTGTTCCATCAATAAAAGCAGTTGGTGTTCTCGAATTGAGAAGTCATTTTTATTTTGGTAGATCAGAACATTTTTATGTCAGTTGATTTCAAGTTATATTGGAAAATAGTAGGTGTTACACTTTGTTTATGTTTGTCATTGTTGTGTTTGTGTATCAAATTTTGTTTTCGTCACGTGTATTCTTTCTGTTGAATTGTTTGATTGTGTGTAGTGATTATGGCAGATACCCAACAACAAGACCTGACACCCACAGCAGCAAGCCCTCTGGCTTAGGCAGCAGATAGTACAAAAAATATTTAAATTAAGTTAATGTTTTTGATTCAACTAATATGCACTACTCTTGGTTCAACCAACAAGATAACATTAATCTGGTTCAAACATAAACTGATGTACTGGTCCACACACACCCACACCCCTAAGAAAATTGTATTGTCAGATTTTTTATACCATAAGTTCTTTGTGAAATCTAAAATCAAATGACTTTCTGTGGCGAAAGAGAAAGTCACTTACCAAGAAAAAAAGGGCACATGTGTTCTGTAAGATGTGCTGAAGACAAAATAACCAAAATAGAAACAAGTCAGTTGCAGCTGTTGCCATAAATGCATCTCTGATATGCTAATATTGTGTGTCCTCTCCTTACTGTTAACTAATGAAAAAATTGTTCTGTCAATAAAAGTGGTTGACATTTGCGAATTGGGCGTGGTTTATTTTTCTATCTATGTCCATCAGTTTGCAAGTTGGATTTCTGGCTGTTTATGTGTATTGGGATTTCTGACATTGAACCTGTAATTCATAATTTTGACATTTCTTTCTGCCCTTGGATCTTTGAGTCTGGACTTGATTTGTTTTATTTCATTTTGAAATTGAGCTGCCATATCAATTTTTGAACAGTAACTTAAACAATCATTTGTCCAAACACTCACTCAACCAAATATATCAACAAATACAAAAAACACACTCAAAATGTGAAAAGCATCCCACATCCACCTGAGAATTGACATTTCCGGTCACCTAATGGGGGAGGGAGAATTAAAACAACGAAAGTAGGGACAGAAAATAAAAGGGGCCAATGAGCATACATTACCTAGCTAAATTAACTTGGTGTAAAAAAAAACAAAAAACAAGCCTAAACTAACCTAATTTTGGGCAGAGTTGCCAGTGTTCAATCCAGCTAGTACAATTTGTTTTAGTGGCATTAAAATTAACAGGTCATTCTTTCAACCGCCCCCCCCCCCAAGTTAACAATAGACTGTAGGTCATTTTTGACATTAGCTGCCAATTTGACCTTATTGATCTGAGCAGCCATACTATCAAGACAAGAGTAAATGGTTGTGTCATCAGAATATATACCATGTTGAGAGCTGGTGCCACCAGGAAGGTAATTAATGAATATTAAAAACAAAATAGGACCAAGGATAAACTCCTGAGAGCCACCTGCATTAGTACAAAAGAATCTATAAGAGTAGCCATTCAGGGCAACTTTTATTTTAGAATTAGATAAGAAAGACTGAATCAGTTAAAAAATTTGTCTGGATACACTATAACTTTTCAACAAAAAAACGTCTCAAATTTAATTAAATACGAAAACCCAGAACTGCCAAAATTACAGAAACTGGTTTCATTTTATGTTTAAAAGTAAGTTTGTTTGTTTGTTTTTTTTTGTTTTTTTTTTCAAGAACTTTCTATAACCAAGGAGTTAGGAATATATCTTTTATTTATAAATAAAAAATATTTCTTTATGAAACTTAGTAGGTTTTTTTTGTTTTTTTTTAATATTAATACTTACGAATATAATTTTTTTTTAATAATAAAATAAAAAAAAAAGTAATGTTTTAATTTTATCCATTTGGCATTTATTCTCTTTCTTTTTTTTTTTTTTTTTTTTTTTTTTTAACTATTTGATATCCTGAACTATTTAACTGCATCAAATCAGACCTTTTTAATTACTTTAAATTTGTGCTGCTAGAAAAGAAAAATAAACAAAATCAAGAAAATTGATAAAGACTTATTGAATTGATATTTATTGACTGCCTTTATATTGTTTACTTTCAGTTACTAATATCATAAAAAATTCTAGATACTTCTAAATGTCCTACATAATTATTTTTAACTTTCTATAAATAAAAGGGATGCAATTCAGGATTGTGGAATTATTTCTTATTTGATCTTCTG